AGTTTGCATGAGTCAAAATACTTAAGTTTATTATTTTACTCTGTCTACACCAAATTTTATTTGTCAATTGGAGAATGGGAGATTGCTGGCATAAATTATGACTGCAGTACACCTTCCACCCTCAAAATCCAGCCATAATTTAATTATTTGAAAAAAGTTTTGGAAAAAAATAGAAACAACTCTTTTCAGCGCCAGTGTGCTGCTAATATTTGTACACATTTATTTGCAGGCAAATGCTTGTGCAACATACAACTTTCTTCTTGAAGAAGGCAGAGTGACAGGGGCAGCGTTGATCCCACCGACTTTGTTACATGACAGGTGACACCTATGGTATGTAATAACGCTAGGGGAATAATGTACTGAAGAAGCAACCACCCACAGGAGTTGGGGCGTGGCCCCCTGACGCGGTCGAGAATTACGGATGATAAAATATTTCCAGAAAAATTTCGGGAATTATTAATGCATGTACTGTACTGTAATTACACAACAAACATCGAAGTAAAGACGTTCTAAGTTGTTCAGAGAAATTTCGAAAGTATAATGGCCAACTTGCATGTTAGACTAAATTTTAATCTAAGTAAAGAGAAGGGAATCAAACACAACGGTTAAAAATAATGAAATTAGTAAAATTGCAAAATTTGGTTGCGAACTGTTGTAAAATACAGAAAATATAGCCTTGCGAAGTTTGCATGTTTTCAGCATATTCGTATTACGTGCGGAAATTGTTACCATTTTCGACTCAAAAATGGTAACAATTTCCGCACGTAATACAATATATTTTCTGTATTTTACAACATTTCGTAACCAAATTTTGCAATTTTACTTATTTTAATAAATTCTTTACGGGAATTCACTTTTTTTTGCCTAAATCAAAAATTAGTCTAACATGCAAGTTGTCTATTAAGTGCATGAGCACAAAGGTATTTCATAAGAGAATTCGAGATTAAAGCCTGGTCCCGCACTACTAGGAATAGACCTTTCCCCTTTTAAGTGAAATTTTGATCTAGACTAGCCTGCACAAAAATTTCATTACAGCTTGAAAGAGCATCACAAAATTAGTAATATTCCGATCGAAGTTTCGTTGCAAAATGTTGTAAAATGCGGCCAATATAGCCTTGCGAAGTTTGCCGTTTTTCAGTCATTTTGTATTACAAACGGGAAATTGATAATCAGATGATCAAACTGATTATCAATTTCCCGTTTTTAATGCAAAATGACTGAGAAACGGCAAACTTCGCAAGGCTATATGATCCGCACACAACATTTCGCAACGAAACTTCGGAATATTACTAATTTTGTGATGCTCTTTCAAGCTGTAATGAAATTTTTGTCCAGGCTAGTCTAGATCAAAATTTCACTTAAAAGGGGAAAGGTCTATTCTGTCGGCGATTTTTCTCCTCCTGGCAAATGTGATCGAATGAATGACAAGCAAAAGACTGAGAATTGTTTACTTCTGAAAAGCGACTCTATACTTTTGCGACTCTATACTCTATACTTATACGATTTGCATCCGTCAGAAATACAAAATCGCCGACAACATTGTCAGTGTGAACCAAGCTTTAGACACTGATTCAAGGTTACATTATATGATAAACTCCAAAATTGTCAATTTTAAGACTTTAATGGAGACACACCAGAAATTGGAGATCTTTGCGATTCTGCGAAATTCAGTGGAGATCTTTGCGATTCTTTTGGAAATTTTAAAACGCGACTCGACGGAGATAGTACAAAAAAAATATTAGAGCTGCCGAATATTTTGCCGCGAAAGTTGCAAATAACATCAACAACACTTAGCAATTCAAGCGCGATGTGAATTTTACACGCAAATACGGCGCCGTCAAATATATGAAGCGATATGGTATGTCGGAAACCGTATCTTTACTATAATAGTTTACTGACCTGTAAACCACATATAAATCATAAGTATTCTCATAAGTCGAAGCAACTCCAGACGAGCAACTCCAGGGCCTTCGCTCGAAACGTCGAAATTCTCCTTAATATATATTTTCAGGCAGTTGCACTCCCTACCAACGAAAGCTTGTTCATTACATATTTCAGTAGCCTTTGTTAACTGTGCATGGTCATACTATGATTTATATTATCAAAAGGTGGCATGGTTTACATAGAAGGGGTTTTGATAACATTTTAACAGCATCATGCCAGCAAAAATAACATTGACATTACTGGTTGGGTGGCGTGATAAACTAAACAATGTATAGGCTTTATTACAGGAAGACAGCCGATCGCGATTATGATGTAATGTCCAGTTACAGCAATGAAAAGCGGATTGTTTGCTCAGTCACTCAGCTACTGGTTGCGGCCTCACCGCAGTAGCGGAGAACCCAGTCCACTTGCAAGTTTTAGGAAGACCGCATTTCTCTGAAAATTCAAATAGCTATATAAAAGCACGAATACACTGCAAAATTTTTTGACGCAAAATAATGCAACCACATACAGAGACTGTCAGAGAACCGTCTAGCTTACGAAATGTTCGATGACTTTTAGTTTGGGTCGGACATGTGTATTGTGACGTTCGATGGAAATCTGATGACTTTGAGTCCAGTTTGGCTTGGAAATAAGTATCAATGCGAACACAAATTAACATCAGGACAATTTGGAAAATTCACTATTTGAATCTTGGCAATAAATTTCCGAACCCCACGGTGAAAACTGCCCGCACTTGATTACCCGGCCATCTTCAGACTTCAGTTCACTTTTTATAAATTACTCTGATTCTCCATTGAACATACGCGCTTCTAGTCGTGGACTAGGTCTAGGATACATTTTGATTTACGTTGGACAAAGTTACAGTTAGGTCCGACACCAATACACTCGGGTCGGACAAAGAATAAACCTCAGTTTCACCACAGTTGAATAAAATTAACTGTGCCGGGTTTCACTTAGGTCGGACAGAATGTCCACTAGTGGTTTCCTCTCTACGTCGGACAATTTCACGACTGAATGGATCGGACAATGTCCATGACTGACCGATATTTTAAGGCCTGACCTGTGCGGGGCAAGCTTAAGAGTGAATATTAAGAAGTAATAAAACGAGGAGATGAACCCAGCCCCTGGAAAGAGAAGCCCAAAATCAAATCAAATCAAATGTATTTTTGCCACAGAAAAATAACAATGAATATAGAAAATATATATGGAATAAAAAGCCGGAAGCCCAAAAGAAACCAAAAGGCTTATAAATAGGTATACGAAGTTTGATCACATTTAGATAAATACAGTATGCATACTGAGCTTTAACAAATTGCGAAAACTTCAGTGAAATGTATTGGAGTTTGGGAGGACGCACGCCCCAAGTGCAACATTGACCAAGTACGCATGTGATTTGTTAATCGGGAAGATTAAATGCATCTGATTGGTTAATGGTCCCTTAATTGTAGCTGTAGTGGAGGTCAAATTTGAATTCACCTTACTAATATATTTTATGGCAATTTTCCCAAATTTTGAAAGCTTGTTATTCATACTTTATGTATCGAAATTTTTCTCAAACTTTGTAAACTCACTAATTCAGTGAGCTGATCATCCATTAGTAAAGTTTGGTACTTGTTTAACGCTGAATTCCAGTCTCCCCATCGTCTTTGGCGTCTTTGGCGTACCTTTCGTTGGTGGGGATGCAACTACCTGAAAATATATAAGGAGAATTTCGACGTTTCGAGCGAAGGCCCTAATTCGTCTGGAGTTACTCGAAGGGCCTTCGCTCAAAAAGTCGAAATTCTCCTTATATATTTTCAGGTAGTTGCATCCCTATACGAACGAAAGCTTGTTCATTTGATTGGCACTACCTACAATAGCAAAGACAGTTAAAAAAAAGAAAATATGACGGGTATGTTAAAACAGCGACATGATTCGATTTCCGGCTAGGATAGCCAGAAATTAATTTTAAAAAGAATCTACTTGAACACACGTCAAGTGAACAAAAACTTTAAAAGTTCAAATGAAATCTTACAAGCGCGCAGTTTTTTTTCTCACAAACAGTGGCAAGAATTGTCAATTTGTTTGTAGCTAACAAAATTTGCAATTCAAATTATGAAAATATTTCACCCCGGTGGGAAGTGTAATGTTTCCTGTCGAATGATGCCACCTTAGCACGCTGTGCTTCCGTCCTAGGCTACACCGGCGGCCTTTCCCGTGCTTATCTGAGCCTATCTGTTTATCTTGTAGAGAAAACACACGCAAACGCGTGTATATTTGCTTAACAATCACATTTAAGCGCAATATTTGTCCATTTAAACAATTAAGATATGCGGAGCTCTTGAATAGGTTTGATGCGTTGCTTAATGATTTACAAATTTGAGGGTGTGTGACTGTGAGAAATATTAGCAGCCAAAAAAGGTCGGTATATTTGAGACCCCTAAGGGGAATTCCACGACCTTTGAGCCAATCAGATGGCAGCAGTAATTACGGCATACAACGAAACCTGGACTCAGGCCGGGCCAATCGTATTTTACTTCTGACTAAACTTACATGAAGTAGATTATATATTTATGAAAGAGTATTTTTTATGAATTTAAAACCTTTTCAAGTATATTTATACAGGAATGTTTTTGACTTTTTCGGCCTTTGGAGTTTCGAATTTTTGTGACGCGAGTTTTTCGAAAAGCGCGAGACTTTTAGAGTGTTTTGCCCTTCTACGAATGCATATAGTTATTATTGCTACCAAATATTAAAAACGGCTAATGCTATGGCTAAAGCTCCAAAGTTTTAGCGGATTTTAAACCCAACCCAGGGTGCTATATTACTCTGAAAAAAAGTATGAGGATTTTGTTTTTATTTCAAAATTCTGCAATATATAATTTTTTTCGTGGATTTTAAAGCGGAAAATTTTCGGAATTTTGATGCGATTTTAGGGATTCTCGATTCCGGGATTTTGTGTACTATTTAAAACATGAGCAGCAGTGTTTTATATAACGATACGAGGCGAAGCCGAGTATCTTTAGGTCTGATAAAACACGCACTGCGAATGTTTTAAATTGCCGTTCAAAAACGACCGATCTAGTAAGTTCATTGGCGAAGTAATTTTCAAAAAATACGTTGTGTAAGTCGAGAAAAGCAAAGTTAAAGTTTATGTAAATCAAGGGAAATCTTTATCACACATAAAGATGCGACACGCTTATGATTTTCTTTCTGTTTTCCTCATTATTAATGAGTTTTTTTAAGGCAATTTCGAATTCAGAGTCGCTTATGAGTCCAGACCTGAGTCCGAAACAGACTCCGGGTTTCATTACATGCCATTAATTACACACATTTCCTTTGATGAATCGAACCTTTCTGTCAGCGCAAGAATGTTGTGTTTTATGATAAATGCCAGAAGATCTAATTTCGCTCGACCTGCCCGCCATCAGACGTCGAAGTCGAAATTGTCAGACGACGGTTTTTGTGTGTATCATCTCTTGAGTTCGAACTCGCGCGTTCAAGATGACGACGCATTTCAGGCTAATTTTTGCCGCTGCGTTTCTACTGTACTGCGTTTGCGCGCAGGTCCCAACGAACGTGGATAAGATGAAATGCTACAACGATAGATCGGAGCCGATTCGATGCGTTCCCGAGTTCGTCAATGCCGCGTATCGGCGCAAAGTGGTGTCGAACAATACCTGCGGTACACCTCCTAGCAAGTACTGCGTCCAAACGTTATCTACCGGTCAGAAAAAGCAGTGTCAGACTTGTGATAGCCGTTACGAGGCGACAAGACACATCCCATTCTATATCACCGACGTTAAAGACGATAGAAATTACTCTTGGTGGCAGTCGGACACTCTATACACATTCCAGCGAAATAACATATTCGACCGACGCACTCGTCTATCTAAAGTCGTGCTGACTCTCGATTTTGGCAAAACATTCGAAATTGTTAGTATTCGTTTAAGATTCCGCTCGCTGCGGCCCGAATCAATGGCCATATTTAAACAAACCACATCGGATAAAGATGGGGACTGGATCGCGTACCAGTATTATTCCCGAGCATGTGAGGACTTTTATGGCATTTTCCCTGACAGTATCGTGCGCAGAGATAATTTACAAACGGCGCTTTGCACTTCGAAATATAGCCAGGTTGTGCCTATTTTTGGCGGTGAGGTCCTCTTCAGAACACTCGCGAATCGACCAGGACGAAACGAGATCGAACAGTTACCGCAGTTACAAGACTGGATTCGCGCCTACTCGCTTAAGTTCGATCTGGATCGCCTGAATACGTTTGCGGACGATATATTTGGAGACCCCGATGTTTTGAGGAGCTACTACTATGCCATCATCGATCTCACCGTTGTAGGCAAATGTCATTGCAATGGGCACGCATCGGAGTGTAAGAATAAGACCGTGGGAGAGACTTATATCTGCCAATGCCAACACAACACGACCGGCGTAGATTGTGAACGATGTTTGCCTACTCATAATAACAAACCATGGGGAATGGCGACCAGTACGAATGCACACGCTTGTGAAGGTAAGGGGTTTATGTTTCGCTATAAAATAGAAGGTGAAACAGAATCGGAATATTAAAATCTGTAAACTGAAGATTCGAGCTATTTAAAATATTTTTAGCTGTTTGAAGATTTTTGTTATCTTGTTTAATTAAATAGCTCGGATCTTGAGTTCACAAGATGTCAATATTCGTAGTGTTCATCATGTTTATTCATGTTTATATATAGGCTCGATATTCTAACCTCGAGCCTCGCGTGTAAACTTGAGATCACTATTCATGTTTATAGATATACTCTCGAGGGTCGAGGGTAGATTCTCGAGGATCGTGGGTAAACACGAATATTTGGGTTTCAGCAAGCGACAGTTATAGTCCTAAAATTTTAACAAGGGGGGGGGGCTCTTCAAGGAAAGCCTTGGGGTATGAACTGCCAGAAAATTGTAGATTCATTTATCCTATATAAGGGCATAAGGCTGCAATCTAGTGAAGTTTTTTTCATATGCTCAGATTAGTTTAAATCCCTTTAAAAGTTTCTTGTGAGATAACAAAAATTTGTTATATTATCAAAGATTATTTCTGTCTTGGTAAAAATCCTAAGGGAGGTTCATCCCCTTTCACTACACCCCTGGAGAGAATAGGGTTGATAATGTAAACACCCCACCCCCCAGAACATTTTTGGTTTTGTTTGTATAAAATAAGATTTCTCGCTCGCATTCAGACAGCACTTTTGAACAAAAATACAACGATCACGTACTTTCTTCTCTTACAATTTATTCATATTTGCCACAGTTTCTTCAAAATTACGGAAAAGATTGAGTTTCAAAACTTAAATTAAGAAAAGGAAGATGAATTCTTAATTCTACTCGTTTCCTCAGCAGTAAATCAAAATGCGCAGTTCTTTTATTCTTTAATGATACAGTAAAAAATTATGATCCGATTTTGCCAAAATATAGCATTACAGGATCCAATTCCAAGTACCAAATGGAAATATAAGCTTTAATCCTGCTCCTATATATAATTTCCACTTGATATTAATTGAATATTCGTTTCAGTCATGAAAACAAACAACTTTTAATGACTTAATTCGTTTGAAATGATAATATCTCTGTGGCGTATTACTACCCCAAAATTACTTTGTCTTCAGCTTTATTTTGTAGTTTATACAGTTGGCTATCTTTTTAAGAGAAGAATCTTTTGTATGTTACGTAACACGCGCCCAAAACTATTGAATATACTTTTCCATATTCAATTTTTTAAATTTTTGATACACGTTTCTCAAGCGGAAAACAAATTTAAAAAGTATGTTTAGTGCTTTATCTATAAAATAATGCTAAAATGAAGAGATTTTAGATGGTACGCCAAAGAGAAAATGATGTCTGAAGTTCAGTAAGTTTTGCTTAGTGTATTGCTGTATAAAATATGGCGTCAATTTTACAACATCAATGATAATTGTATTTAAATTGAGAATATCTAACTATTATTCTGTGTTTCTCAACCGCCAGATACATTTGAAAAGGTTGCTAACTATGTGTAAACTACAAAATAAAGCTAAAACAAAGTAATTTTGAGAGGAACGTAAAAAAAATTCGTGTTTTGAACACTTTTCATCGCACACTGGCTTACTGCGCGGAGCACTGTTTTCGTGTCAAATTTTTTCGACCTTTGCATGCTACCCCAGGGCATACAATTATTAAAATGCTAAGATAAACATTGTATACTTGCATGATAAATGACGGTCTCTTTGTATCAGCATAACTAAAACTCATTTCAAAATCTTTTAATAAAGGACCTTTCTCGAAATATCGAAATTTTTTCATTCATGTCAGTAGCTCACATACAAACCACAGATGCTATCACAGCCTACACTGGACCCCTACGTTTGAGTATATATATTTTTTTGCATGTATAACAATCCCACACTTGTCTATGACGACATTTTCCATATTGTTCTAACCATTTTTAGTCAGCTTTATTAAATTAAGCGTTCGTAAGTTGTTCTGTGGTCATTTCTAGAAAAAAAATAACATACAGCTTCATTAATATTTTGCGCTCAGACGCATAAATATGCTTGGTATGTTTGCGATGTAGATACGAAATATTTCACATTTAAAATGGATTATGGTATACCCTTACTTCTAACATAGCATATTGAGAAAGTATTATAGAAAATAGTATTCTACTATTCGTATGTAAACATTTGAGTCAGGGGTGCGTGCGTGTAACTTGCCGATCTAATTTGCATATATTGCGCCGATGTAATTTCTATGATTCAATCCGGAACAGGGATAGTATACCATGCAAATGTTTCTGTTTTTAGAAATAAATTCATAAATGTGAGCTGACAAATCCGAATATTGATTTCTGCTAAAATTCACATTTAAGAGTTCTTATTAAAGAGGGTCATAGGGTCGGCAGATTATACAAGCAGCTTTGGCATTATAATTATTTGGCAGCAAATCATCGCCAAATATAGACAATGGATACGTCATTTTCACCTTCTCACATTTCGTTCCTCGTTAAATGTCTCATAAAATTCCCACTTGACATGATTGGATTATTTTCCGTCTAAATTTGCGTGGTATTCACTGATTATATTTAAGTCTGACTGATATTTCCATGTAGATTGTTGTATTTTTAATATTTCATACAGTATTTGATTTCATGTGTTAGGGTTTTAACATTAATTCTTATTGAATATTGTAAATAAAAAAAATTAATTGTGTCAGGACCTTTCTGAAAATCACGTTCTGTGAGAAAGCTTCTTGACTTTCATGGTATTGAAGACTTTCACGATGGCATTAGTATAGGCAGAGACGCTTTACAAACGGTGCTTTGCACTGGGAAGTATAGTTACAGGTTGTGCCTATTTTTGCTAGCGAGGTCCTCTTTAGAACACTCGCGAATTGATCCGTTCCGTAACGGTATTATTTCAGAACCATTTCGGAAATATGAAAAACTGCTTCATAATAATAATTTTGACACTGTAGAATTGAATCACTGCGCGTCCTCTATTAAGACAAGCATTAACGAAAATATTTCGCTCACCAAAGGTTTAGGCGCTAAAGTGAATAACTTAAGTTGGCCGACACTAGAAGATAGGCGGATGAAACAAAAATGTTGTCCATAATTTTCACAATATTCCACAAATCAGGCTCATCTTATCTTTCACGGCCGTTTAATCGAGCGAACTTTATTCACAGCCACGATACGCGAGGTCATGAAAATTAGGTCGCTTTAGACCAGATTTTTCCATTGATACAGAGGAAAGAATTCGGGTCTGACCGGTTAGGAAGGCGCCCTATATCAGTCGTATGGAATTCAATACCAATTGAAATTAGGAATTCCACCTCAGATAATAATTTTTTATGGGTATCACTCTTCTTGTAGATATTGTAAATAATTCAAATGTCACGGCGCCTGGGAAGGTCATCTCAATTTCGATGACAAGCCTCCGTGCTTAAATAAAGTTCACTCACTTAAAGTGACGTTTGGAAACCAAAAAATACGAACTCGAATCTGGTCTCTGAGTAAGACAACGAATTTTTTGAATTTTTAGACAATTCTACAGCGTCAGAATGCCACGAAACGATACGCCAAAACGATTTTGGGTTTTGAATGCTTTTCATCGCAAATAACGCGCGACATGCGAAAAAAATTCCACCATTGTTATGTAGTTTTATCAGGTGTAACCAGGCATTAAACAACGTGATTTCTCGCATATGAAACTGTCATCACGTAGAGATAACGTGACCCTGGTTCGATTAGCAAGGTGTGGCAGGGCAAACGGTTTTTGGCACTGGAACAATGTTTAAATATATACTTGTAATCCTATACGTGATGAGAATTAGACACTCCTTTTCCCGTCTCTATTGTGGTTCACGTCAATGATAACACACTCCATATTTGGCTCAAGAAACCGGAATGTTAATGGCCCGTTTACCAGATTCCGCTTTGGATTAGAATTCAATAGGATTGATTTTTTTTTAATTACTAACAAACTGAACCTTATAGGTCGAAATGGGCAAAAGGAAAAGGAGTAGGAAAGCAAAACATTTGTCATATGTGTTAAAAATTACCACACACTGACATTAACACAGTTTTTAATCCCCCCCCCTCCTCAGCAATCAAAAGCGATGTAAGCTTAAACAGAGAGTAAATCACTTTTATCTCAGAAACCATCTTGATTCTCGATGATATTTCAAATGACACGGTCAAGTGACTAATAAATTCAATGACAATGTTCCAACGTTTTGAGTGACCAAAGGTCAAAGAAATTGAAATAGAATTTTTCTCAGTGGTAAAATGTGAGGGAATGTGTCCTGATTAACATACTAGAAATCCCAAAAAATCCCTTCGGTGGAACATGGTGAAAATCAAGTTTTTCTTACTTCTACCTATAGAAAACCATTGTGGACAGAATGTTCAAATTTTGAAATCATTTTTAGGCAAATGTAACCTACATTATTGGAAAGCTTAAACAAAAACTAGATTAAGGTCAATTAAACCGTTATATTCAATTTACTGGTCAGTTTGTCGTTATTCTAGCTCAATGTTGGAAAAATAGCGCAAAATTTGCACAAAATACAAATTTATGGCATTTTAAATCTTGTATAACTGCGGCTGGATAGGCAAAATCAAGGTAACCGTTTAATGATCTATATTTTAGTTTTTTCTAAGCTTTCCAATTATGCATGTTATATTTGCAAAAAAATAATTTCAAAATTTCAACATTTTGTCCGCAATGGTTTTCTATAGGTAGAAGTAAGAAAAACTTGATTTTCACCATGTTCCACCGAAGGGTTTTTTTTTTTATTTTTAATATGTTAATCAGAACAACTTTTCACACACTTTACCACTGAAAAGAAATCTATTGCGATTACTTTGATCAGGACCATGTACTTATAGTGATTTGACTGGACTATACGTCTAGAAGTACGCCTTCATTACTAGTGGAAAACGGGCTTTAGTCAGATCTAATAGATGTATAAAATTTCGATTCGAAATGTATGCCCACAAATCCCTCACTTTGTTATGTTGATTCGTTTCAGCATGTGAATGCAATGGTTTGGCAGAGACATGTGAATTCGACGAGAGACTCTATCAGCGAACAGGCAAGGGTGGACGATGCATCGACTGTCGTAACAATACAGGTGGACCGCACTGTGAAAGATGCCGCGAGAATTACCATCGTGAAACAGAAGAGGAAGAGTGCAAGGCGTGTAACTGTGATCCTATTGGTTCCCAAAGTCTTCAGTGTTACAGAGACGGCAGGTGTTACTGCAAACCCGGGGTGACTGGGGACAAGTGCGACCGATGTAGGCCCAACTATTATGGCTTCTCTGAAAGTGGCTGCAGGTTAGTGTTAGATCTCTGTTTGTAACTGGAATCATGTGTAGAAGTTTGTAGTAATCGACCATTCCTCAATTAATCAAAATTTTGAACTCAACAAGTCTAGACATAAATTTCATCACAGCTCGGAAGAGCATCACAAAATTAGTAATATTCCAAAGTTTCGTTGCAAAATGTTGTAAAATGCGGATAATATAGCCTTGCGAAATTTGAAATTTTCAGTCATTTTAGATTTATACAAACGGGAAATGGTTACCACTTCTGTGCGCAATACAAAATGACTGAAAATTACAAATTTCGCAAGGCTATATTATCCGCATTTTACAACATTTTGCAACGAAACTTTGGAATATTACTAATACTAGACTTGTTGAGATCAAAATGTTGGTTAATTGGAGAATGGTCCATTGCAGTCTAATCGTGCGACTAGATTTAAAGTGAACTGGAGTCTTTTTCCTTCAATATAAAGCTGAGTGATAAAGGGAGGTGCTGGAATATTTTTATAATGTTGTGATATTGTTCACTCGTTAATATGATAGGTAGAGATGGTCTCGCGTGAGTGCGTCCAAATCGCGCAAGTTCATTCATTTGTTCATACGTCTTTATTAAAATATATCATAAATATTGGAGTTGCAACAAACGTGCAACTTTATACAGTGCATATAAGATATAGAAATTAGATTATTTACAAATGTGTTAACGTTACAGTTAATATATATACCGTATAACAGAATTTTAAAAGTCATTAAAAATTGTTTAAAACATTCAGTGCATATATAAGATATAATAATTAGATTATTTACAAATGTGTTAACGTTATAGTTACAGTCAATTTCAGCTGACTTTTCACTCAAATGTTCCGAACTTCGTTCCGAACTTCGCAAATTCGTTGCCAAGTTCAAAAGTTCATAATGAAATTCACAAGCGGGTTTGTAAACTGGGCATTTGATTGGCTGGTTTGATTTAATAGCCAATCAGAGGCTTTGTTTACAAACCTGTTCGTGAATTTCATTATGAACTTTTGAACTTGGCAACGAATTTGCGAAGTTCGCAACGAAGTTCGGAATCTTACGGTGAAAAGTCAGCTGAAATTGACTGTAATACTGTATATACCGTATAACAAAATTTTAAAAGTCATTAAAAAGACACTTATTTAAAAATGATTGTTTATTCTGTGTATACTTTCTGTGTATAACGTTCTGTGTATACTTTTGGCAACATAAATTGATGATCGCGTTCTCTTAAAGGTCGTTGACGTTTTTCCGGTAACAACTCATATAGGCAATGTTCTAGATTGTGCATGACCTTATTGAACAATAATCGATCCCTCTCCTCAATCATCTTGGCCATTGAATATTTATTCTGAGTGTATCCATATCGGAATGCACGATTGAGAAACTTGTTGAATTTATCAATGTATTTCGCTTGCAAAGCCGATCCCCATACTTCAATTGCATAGTAAAATAACGACAAGATCAATGGACCATTTGCATTATAGACTAAATTTTGATCTAGACAAGAATTTCATCACAGCTTGAAAGAGCATCACAAAATTAGTAATATTCCAAAGTTTCGTTGCGAAATGTTGTAAAATGTGGATAATATAGCCTTGCGAAGTTTGCCGTTTTTCATTCATTTTGTATTACGCAGGGGAAATTGACAGCCCAACCGGGTGTTGGGGCATCAATTTCCCGTTTGTAATCTAAAATGACTGAAAATTGCAAATTTCGCAAGGCTATATTATCCGCATTTTACAACATTTCGTAACTAAACTTTGGAATATTACTAATTTTGTGATGCTCTTTCAAAATTTAGTCTATAATGCAAATGGTCCATTGCCCAGCAACTGCTGGGCTTCGTGGCTGGGCTTCGAACCCGCGACCATCGTAATGCTAGCTAATTCTTCTTTCTAAAATGGAATGGAAGAGTATATAGGTTGCCTTGCCTTGCCTTGCCTTACATGTATATGAACAGACCCTAAGGCCTTTCTGTTTCACGGTTTTTGAAACCCTGTCTTTTGTTTCTTATAGTCCATGCGAATGTTCAGTGCTGGGCACCAGACCAGATAATTTCCAGTGTGACGGGAACGGACAATGTACCTGTAAGAAAAACGTGGTTGGCAAGAACTGTGACCAATGCCTGGATGGTCATTTCGCTCTGGAAGCAGACAATCCGTATGGATGCCGACAATGTTTCTGTTATGGTCATTCTTCCGATTGCAAGTCCGTTGGCGGTTACTCGAGCATCAACCTCACTTCCGTGTTCCGTTTTGGTTCAGAGGAATGGCGTGCTTTGAATAGCAAAGGTAGCAAATTGTATCCATTGGATGCCGTTCAGTTGTCACACATGTCCTTTACCACTTCTGTGACATGAGTTTGATAACTGCTTTTGCAATTTTCTGCAGTCTAAAGTTTTATGTTGTCTGCACATGTACTTTCTTTGGAGACACCATTTGCCTCCTGACAAATCGGAAAATGATCATGATAGTGAAACCCCGTTAATACGACCACTGTTCGGCAAAAATATTTTGGTCGCATTATTTATTAACGGGGCGGTCGTATACATACTGTACGTACCGGTCCCTTACATAGACACGCAAAAGTCTCACATCTTGTAGCAAGTCTGCCAACAAGTTGTCTTCGCACTGGTTGTAACTCCCAAGTTGTCACCAAGTTTGGAACAAACTGTTAACAACTTGTAACAACCTTATTGATCATACCAGACTGGTTGCAAGGTTGTTCCAGCAAGTCCGATACAGTCATGATATAACAATATTGTTACAACCTTGTGTCGTCAACCTTGTAATATTCTTGTTATATCATGACTGTATCAGACTTACTATATCAGACTGTATCAGACTTACTGATATCAGACTGTATCAGAAAGTATGATATCAGACTTACTGATATCAGACTTATAAAGTACAGTATGATATCAGACTTACTGATATCAGACTGTATCAGAATGTATGATATCAGACTATATCAGACTGTATCAGACTTACTTACTATACACGCGTCTTAAAGAGCATAGCACGCGAGAAAACTCGGAAATCAACGCCCACATCAACTGTTGTGAACATTTTCAGCACATCAAATTCCTTATGGAACTTTCACCTGACTCAACTAACCCTATAAACACTAATTTAACTAAACTAATATTTAGGAACTGTAAAATAATTGATAAGTCAGACCACTGGTCTCTGTTGATATTTAAGGAGTCTCTTGCTATACGCAGACGAAAACCTGATCTTAACCACGGTGCGAAAGCTTCCAAAGAACTTAGCATACTTCATTGACCGATTAAGCTCCGCCTTTCTTGGCTTTATAATAGCTGCATCTGTAATTTTACACTATTCTTAATCCTGAGGATGACTACAAACTAGTCGAAACGTCGATTAAAAATCAAAATGTTATTCGGAGTTACTGTTATTTTGTATCAGACTTGATAGAACAACTTTGCTACAAGTCTGATAATGCCATCAAGCTTACAACTTTTGTTGACATTGACAGCTTCAGTGAACAGATTTGTAACAACTTGTTTGCAGACTTGTAACGATCTGTGCGTTTTTCCGTGTGTAATAAAGGCTTCAAGTAACGGAACGTTTTGTATTTCTCAGGAGAAGATGTGACTCGCGAGCTGTCCACGTGGAATGCAGGTGAACAAAGCCTTGGTGTTACATCGATCAATCAAGACTCGCTCTACCTCACAGCACCTGCCTCATATCTCAATATGAAACGCAGTAGTTACTCCAGAATACTGTCGTTCCGCTTCAAAGTTGCTGATACGGCTAACATGCAGTTTACGAAGGATGACATCATGTTGATATCGAAAAGCAAAGATGGACTGAAAATATCCACCTCTCTAACAGGGCAAGGTAAACCTATTTCGATTTAACAAATAGGCAATTCCCATTATAGACTAATTTTACAACTAGGCAAGGAGATGCAAATAAATCACCGCAGCTAGAAAGACCATAAAAAAATTAGTAAAATTGCAAAGTTTGCCGTTTTTCAGTCGTTTTGTATTACGCGCGGGAAATTGATACCTTTTTTCAGAAAGCGATATCAATTTCCCGTGCGTAATACAAAATGACTGAAAAACGGCAAACTTCGCAGAGTTATATTATCCGCATTTTACAACATTTCGCAACGAAACTTGGGAATATTACTAATTTTGTGATGCTCTTTCAAGCTGTGATGACATTTTTGTCTAGACTTGTCAAGATCAAAATTTTGTTCATTAGGTAATAGGTGCATTGCAAATTAGTTTTTCTTTTTTTTTGTACCAAAATTTCACCTGATTACATCATATGTGTCTGGAAACTTTGACAGTGAAAATGTTGATCAAGATGAGGTTTTTTTACTATAAAGATACATTACATTTCTTCTTAGAATGATCCAAATATTACACATACCAAAAATTATATTTGGGTTTGTCGCACTTTAAAGTGTCTATATCATGGTTTTGGAGTTTGCATATCTCGAACATTTATTTTAAGACACTTTGCAATATATTTTGTTATTGAAAAATTTCTTCTTGATGGATTTATTAGCTCTTAAAGTTACCGGACATGACGTCAAAAGGAGAATTGCAAATCAGTTTTCCTTTGTATCATTGCAACAAAATTCCCATTTTGACGTCATGCCCGGTAACTTTAAGAGCTAATAAATCCATCAAAATGAAATTTTTCAATAGCAAAATATATTGCAAAGTGTCTTAAAATACCCTAAACTTTCAAGATATGCAAACGCCAAAACCATGATATAGACACTTTAATAATTCCTCATATCCCACTCAATCTCATTCAATAATTGTTTATTATTCATCACCACATAGGCAATCCCGTACCAACACGTCGATTCCAGCTGTATCAATACCGTCTCCACGAGGATCCGTCGTTCGACTGGGAGCCACAGCTAAATGCCTTCGAGTTTCAACGTTTACTAAACCACTTGGACGAAATAAAGATTCGAATGACTTACTCCGACCAAGGCACCGGAATTATTGATGATATTTCACTGGAATATGCCGTGAAAGATGAAAATTCTGTCGACTTTGTCAATTGGGTTGAGGAGTGTACCTGCCCCCCGCCTTATGTGGGGTTGTCTTGTGGTGCTTGTCGTGAAGGACATAAACACGAGACGGTCAATGGCTCATCTTATGATAGGTATGGCATTTCTTGTTACCTAGTATTATTCAGGGGCGGTTGAGCACCCCCACGGTGGGGTGAGTACCACCTACACCCCCACTTCCCTTATCAATCAGACACCAGTCTAGCACCCCCTAAAATAATCTGTACCACCCTAAAAAAAATCAAAATCTGCTTGACCATACATTTTCTGTTTTTCAAATAGTGATTAGCAGAACATCTACTGTTAGCACCTGTCGATTTCTTGAAATGATTTAATTGACTTGTGAGCTCACGAGAAAATACTCAGAATGCTTTAGTTAAAAATATCATAATTAAATATGTAAACATGTCGAGGTTATACACTCAGGGTAACATCACAAACATCATATTCACCTGACTACACAACACCAACACAGAAAAAAACCATATTACTAGATTACATTGGTTCGATTCCCACCGTGGCCGGGCATATTTTTCAAGCTCGCCCGGTGTGGATATGCACTCAGAGTAACATCACAAACATCATGTCGAGGTTGTTATACAGCCATATTTTCAAATATACTACAACTTTAACAAGCAAATTTACTGTACTGTGCTACAGCGACTGTCCAGTCACGCATACGTGATAAAAAGTCGATATAAACAAAGGATAATGTAAAACGTAACAGAACGACGAACATGCAGATTCGATCATCTCAAATAATGATAATGTTGGGATAGTAGCGTTGCAGACTGCAGAGGAGAGTGGGCAGTAAGGCTCCCTCATGCACCACCCCATGGAAAACCGCACCCCTCTTTGCAGATGAAGCTACAATCTTGGACAAAACCCTTGAGACCATTCCAGCTAATATTACAAAGTTATTGAACATTGACAAAACAAACTTTGTCCCGCCTCCCTCCCAGTTCAATGTTGTGAACAACGCCGAAACAACTTTTGGTAATATACCATGACACAAGCTCTACATTGAGTTGGGGGAGCGGGTTTAAGAAGGGAAACATGACTCAACATGGAGTTTATCATAAAAATATGCGAATTTGGTATAGGGGGAGAATATAGTCTCAACCAGTTCTGTCCAAGATTGTAGAACCGCCCCTGGCTCTGACCACTGATTTATCTTTCGTTTATCTCACGTCAGATGTGTCCGATGTGAATGTAATAATCATGCAGACAGCTGTGACCCAAACACGGGCAAGTGTCTCTGTCAGGATAACACCGTCGGCGATGATTGCTCAAGTTGCAAAAAAGGTTACTATGGAAACCCGACCGCGGGAAATAAGGACGACTGCAAGCCATGTCCGTGTGTGTTTGGAACACAGTGCATTCTGATTGGTTCAAAAGTCAAGTGTACGGATTGTCCTGAGGGACATCAAGGTAGGAGTTAGGACGATGTAGGCATAGATTAAGAACAGGGGCCGGTTGTTCAAATCTGGGTTAGCTTAACCCTAGGTTAACCTAAAATTCAAAGCAAACTTCCTGACAGCTTGTCTATAAATTTCGAAATATTTCTTCAGAAATTTGTCTGGATCGATAGGAGTTTACTTCTCTGAAGTTTTGAAATAAACAGACGTGCAGAAATACACAAACTAGAATAGAAAGAATAAAGATAAGATAGGATAAGGGGATAAGGATAGGGTAGGATAAGGATATGTTAGGATAAGATAGGCTAAGGATATCGTAAGCCTAATAATAATAAGTAGGTAAAGGATAGGTTAGGATAAGATATGGTATGATAAGAATAGGGTAGAATAAGGGTAAGATAGGAAGAAACGCGATCATTGAGGCAAAAGTGTAAAACGTCTATTATAACTGAGATTACACATTTTATTGATTATTTATATTTTATTGATTATTTATATTTTATTGATAATTTATATTTTATTGATTATATTTTATTGATTATTTATATTTTATTGATTAGTTATATTTTATTGATTATTTATGTTTTATTGATTATTTATATTTTATTGATTATTTGTATTTTATTGATTATTTATATTTTATTGATTATTTGTATTTTATTGATTATTTATATGTTATTGATTATTTGTATTTTATTGATTATTTATATGTTATTGATTATTTATATTTTATTGATTATTTATATGTTATATATTATTTGTATTTTACTGATTATTTATATTTTATTGATTATTTATATGTTATTGATTATTTGTATTTTATTGATTATTTATATTTTATTGATTATTTATATGTTATTCATTATTTGTATTTTATTGATTATTTATATTTTATTGATTATTTGTATTTTATTGATTATTTATATTTTATTGATTACTTGTATTTTATTGATTATTTATCCCCCAGGTGACCTGTGTGACTCTTGTATTGATGGTTTCTTTGGAGATCCGGCTGGCATCCGAGGCCCGAAGACCGCGTGCAAGAAATGTAAATGTAATGGGAACATTGACACGAATGCCGTTCAGAACTGTGACTCCGAAACTGGTGATTGCCTTAAATGTATCTATAATACCAGAAATGGTCCCAATAATCAGTGCGAGCTCTGCAAAATTGGTTTCTATGGTGATGCCACGACATACCCTAAACCTGGGTGTATACGTAAGTATTACTATAATTGTACGTGCGAAACCGTACTAACTACCGAGTGTCCCCCCCAAAAAACTGGAAACTGTTTGATTTCATGTAACGTAAAAGCTATAAAGCTATCGCAACGAAATAAAGATCATTGCATTCAGAAAGGACTAACTTAGATTTTGATATATAGCACTTGAATTTACATTTTACATGCAATATTGACTGCGCTATTGATGTTTGAACGTTGAACTACTGTTTTTGAAAATGCCAAAAATTAGCATAAAACAACCTTATAATTACCGATGTGGTTATGCTTGTTAAATAATTAGTATTTTTATTTTGGTTGTATCTCGCACAATATTGCATGTAAATTCAAGTGCTATATATCAAAATCTATGTTAGTCCTTTCTGAATGAAATGATCTTTATTTCATTGCGGTAGCTTTTATAGCTTTTACGTTACATGAAATCAAACGGTGTCCAATTTTTTTTAGGACACCCGGCCTAAATTAAAATAAACATTTGAAACATTTTGACCGTTTGGAACATCAGCGCCTCAATAGAATCACAGAATAAGAAAGTACAGCAGCAGCGTCGCTCATCAAATATTTGTCCGCGTTTTTACAAGCGATTCGTCATCAATCACGCCATCCTGGCTAGTACAACCGGCACTTTCTACCTACCAAAACCTGATAAAAACTTCCGGTTGTACTGGCCAGGATGGCGTGAGGGAGTTAAAATTTTCGTGGACGTAAAACAATAAGAGAACCGACTCGAGTGACGCTTCTGCTGTACCTTCCTATTCTGTGATAGAATGTAATCTGGCAATTAACGCCTGTACACTAAAAGATGTTCAATCTGAGCTTCCCTCGAGTGTCAGTGCTATTTTTGACTGAATAGCTGGAGGGTTAGTGTCGCACCGTACTATGTGACTACTCACCCTCCAGCTATTCAAAAACAGCATTGACACTCAAGAGAAGCTCAGATTGAACCTTCACTCATTGAGTGTGAGTGAGCTTTTAGAATACAGGCGTAAATCACAAACTTCATTAACAATTCATGAGTAAATTGACCATTTGCGTAATAGACTAAATTTTGATCTCAACAAAAATTTCAATACAGCTTGAAAGAACATCACAAAATTAGTAATATTCCAAAGTTTCGTTGCAAAATGTTGTAAAATGCGGAAAATATAG